TGCTCGAAAACTTCAAATCTTTACCAAAGTCTTTGCTACACTTGTTCTCCTTTAAACGCGCGGTCAAGTGCTCAACAAGAAGGTTTTTATCGTGCTCACTAATAAATTAAAAAGATATATATTCAATTCAAATAAAATCATGAAAAATCAATAAGATATCAAATTATGGTTCCCAGAGTCCAACTATATTTATATAAGGACACACTTACTTGATGTAATAAGGAAATTTGTCCCACGTCTCCTTTGTAGTTTCGTTTATTCCCTCGAACGACACAATCCTCGACAAGAACTCTTCTCGATAACTCGCGGCCCGAGCCAAAAGTGGAGATTCATAAGGCTTTTTGGTTTCGACCCCTTTCGCTAGTACGTCTTGAACATGCTTGAGCGCGTTATTGAGCTTCTGGAGCTCGATTTTACAGTCATTTAGACTGCTTTCCGAACTTGAAAACCTCGACTGAAGCAAGAATCTAGGGCTGGTGATGTCAGCCGATAACAACTGATGACTAGGCTTTTGGCTCCACGGCTTTTTCGGTGCAATGCTCGTGTACGAGGCTGATCGAGTGGCGCGGGACCACATGATCCCTTGCTTGGCTTTCATATTTTTAGCTCCTCTTAACATGTTGCAATCTGAATGTGTTTTTTCACACTATCTCGTTAATTTTATTTTGCCTTTGCCTTGTGTTTTTTCACTTTCTTTGTACAGAGGCCGATCAAGTGTGTAGTTTTATTATTTTACGTGAATGTGTTGGGAGGAAATTTATAGAGTCTATCCCAAATAAAATGTTTTGATTACTTCTTTCTCAAGCTATCAACTAGTAACAGAAAAGATCAATCAATCCTAAGATGTTGGAAGATTTTTCAGTAACTACCAAAAATGAGAAATTAATTAATATTAATAAGGTTTTATATGTGGCTACGGAAACTGGGAAAAATATTAATAAAAATCAAGAAAATCCCCAAATCGAGCCTAAAGTAATCAATATTCATATATAGTATGCAATTTTTAAAAAATTTTTTTTCGCAAGTATGCAT